ACACAGAAAAAGGAAACTGTAACGGATACTATTATGCAGCTTCCTTCTTCTGAATCAGAACCACAAAATGAAGATACGGTTATGGAAGATTCTGATCCTTCAGATACAACTCCCTATTCAACACCCACACCCGCCGGCGCAACGACAAACACTACACCTTCCAACCCACCTCCGTCCTCCTCGACCGACCCTTCTACCTCCTCTCAAATTCTTGGTCCCGACGGTCTACCCGTAGTTGTCTTCTCCGCCCCCAACAATTCCACTCCGCGCGCAGCCCTCGTCCCCCACAACGACGCCGATTACATTCCCAGCATCCACCAGGCCAAATCCGTGCTATCTCGTCTTCAAACTAGTTCTCAAAACACGAAACTTCTTTCCTACGATGAAGAGCTTGCGCTCGAAACTTCCCGCCAAGATCGTCTATCCAAGATCAAAGAAATCCCTCTTCGTATCCGATTCCCAGATCAAATGGCTGTTAGTAAATCCATCACTAATGAGTCTCACGGAAAATGGCTTTACGAATATGTACGCGGATTAATCGTTCACGAGAATGAACCCTTCAAATTGATCTATCAAGGCAACAAAGGAAGAGAAACAATACCTAATGACGACAGTAAATTCTTGATTAGGCATTTGGGAATTCAGGGTCCAACGGTGGTTAATTTGGCGTGGGAAGATTCGGCGAATATTGAGGGATTGAAGGGGAAACCAGTATTGAAGGATATTTATAGGGAGAAAGCTACAGAGCAACCAGTACCCGTTGTGGAGAGTGTAGAGGAGAAAGAAGAAGAGAGAAAGCCGGAGGAGGTGAAGAAGGATGATGGGGGCGGGGAGAAGAAGAAGAAGGGATTGCATAATCTTATTATGAAGAATTTGAAGAAGAGGTAAATGGAGGGAGGAAGTGGACGGAGTGTCCGAGAATGGTTGATGGATGGATTGTCCATGTTGACTTTCGCAGCGTTATTCCGATTCCGCCAGTCGATGCCTGAAGAGTGGGTTGTGCACTAGGTGATAATGATTTATGACGGTGTTCATAGGGCGGGTGTTGGACTTCTTCGATCTCGAGACGTTGTATTTCTCTTGATCAGGCTGGTAGGAAAGGGAATCATAGCGAGAGGCGTTTTTGTTCCTCGTTTTCTCATTAGATTAGAGTGCACGACATGAAAAGTCAAATGAAGAATTCACATAGCAATTAAATATCAAGGACCGTGAAAATAAACTTGAAAGGTATTTTATTTTTGCCCCGAGATCTTCATGAATGCTATTGTTACTAGCAACTTCAAATCTCAATTCCCAGAATCATAGTAACTCGTAAAATTCTTCATTGTTACAGCTCCAATTCCCATATACTTGACTTGTGTAAATGTGGAGATCCATCATAAACCCATATACCAATCCATTGTATTGGAGAGACGAGATGTGATTTTTTTGTGGTGAGAGAATATGAGGTTGGGAATTTAGTGACCGGCTCTGCGGGACTCGGCAATGACACCTTGGAGCTCGTCGACCTTTGCCTTAGCACGTCCGAAAGTACCGAGCTGTTGTGAAGTTAGTATTTGTTTCGTGTGGTTATGCGATGTGGGTAAAGTGAGAGCAGTGAAAAACATACCCTCTTCTTTGCGAGCTTACGGGCACGCTTGTCCTTGCTGTTACGGAGCAATTCGATGACTCTGCGCTCGTATGGTGCGAGACTATTGAGAAGATGATTAGTCGATTGATTACCCCTTAGAAGAAATGGGAAGAAAACATACCCAGAAACCTCCTTGACGATATCTCTAACAAACGCAGTGCGCTTGCTCAAGTGACCCTTGGTTCTGCTAACCTTGGGCTTTGAGACACGAGCCTCGGTTTTCTATACATCACAACATAAATCAGCCGGTCCATCTTCTAAAAAAAAATTCGCAAAGAAGATCCTCCAAGAGGTGAGACGGGCGGGTTTTCAAAGTTCCCCGTGGTGGGAAAGTTTCATGAACATACGTGTCCTTTGTTGAGACCGACGGCGAGGCCGGTACGATCTTGCTTTTCGGCGGCCATTGTAGATGTTGGCGTTGGGATTGTCGTGTTGTCGATGTTGAGTTGTGAGCGTGAGGGAGAAATTTGGATGTGGTGGTGGAATTTGAAAATTTGGAAGTGTGGTCACGTGTAAAGCTAGTGAGGGTAAGCGAGTATGAAATCTTGGCGTTTTGTGTGGAGACAGCGGGTTTGGAGTGACAACCTCATGTATCATTCTTGTGGTATGAAGTTTCTTTGTGTCCTGTATTTCTAGAATCGTATTCAGATTGTCAAGAAAAAGATAATCATGCTGCAAGGATGTTTACTTTCTCGATTGAGTTGCTGAGCCTCGCTCGAGATCTAAAAAGAGCACAATACAACACAGCAACAATGGTTTATCTTGCATTCAGCAAAGCCTTGCTATCATTTCTTAAATTACCACCAGGAACGATGGTACTACCCAAATTTTCTTGATTCATTTGCAATTTTCAAATCTTCTGTTTGGGATTATTTCCAGACCCTGCTGGATAGTAAGTACTCATCCAAAATTCCGAGGAATGGATTGGCAAATAATTTGGTAGCACGGAGAGGTACAAAATATATGCTACTAGCATGCAGAACTTGCTCCTGAATTTTGATTATGCTTCTATGGCAGTGGCCCTGGAAAGCTAGTGGATCGTTGTCTTTGATATTTGTGGTGTATCAATTCTACTGGCATCGTGGGAGCGAGCCTCCCATAGTCCGGTATGCTGCTCAAAGGCTAATGGCTTCTAGGAGGAAGACTTGTGTCAGAGAGCCTAACTCGTGGAGCAATGATGTTTCCCGAGATATTTCCTCTGAATTTGGTCCAGATTTGATGATTGAATCTGAGTGGTTGGTCTACCATTGTTAGTGGTTATAGAAGGTGAGGTAGACCCGCTCTTTGTGGCACAAAATCCTCTGAAGATAACCAAATGCAAAAGTTGAATGTTTGAGGATTTCTCCTTCTATTTTCACTCTCTATTGTTTCATTTTCCTCATATCAAAGACTTCAGTTCCATAATTGATTGAGATACGTGTTTGTAGTCTCCTTTACAATATAGTTTTCCACGTTTTGAACACAAGCGACTTCCACTTCGCAATTTGCAAGAAAGCCTCAGTGTAGGAGTTCGATCATATGCTTGTCCTTAACAGCTAGAGATTCCAATTTTATACGAACAGAATACTAAACACTCACATAAGTTATCAAATCGCATTCAGTACTGGTCTTCAACAATCCAGGACTGCTCTCGCTTACTGTAGCTCATCTCATTCCTCTGTTAAAACTTCAAAATATTTCATGCCTTAAACTAATCCTACGAGTTTCGCGGCTTGCTTTGATTGAGATATACACTTTAATGATGATGTATAGAAATGATTCGATATTGATGTTAGCTATCCATTAGGTGCTGAGCTTGGTGCTGAGTGTCTCTATAAGTAGGCGATCTATATAGTACCAAGTTTACATACGAGAGATGCGTTTTATTCGTAGCCCATTAGTTTCCCATATCGTGAATACGTAAGTTATTGGCCTTGTGAAAGGAACTGGTTGTCTGAATTGAGTGCATGCAAAGTTTACCTGGGGATGAGTGTATTCACCTACTCAATCTCCAATCCTGAAACATCCATGATTGATTCTTGAATACGATATATTATCCAGTCTTGGCTTCGAGAGCGTACGCTCTACAAGGAAATATGGAGAACAACGGTTCCAAAATAGACCCCGCCCTTTCCCCCGCTCCCGACTACCGACTACTAGTCTTCCACAGAGCATGAGTAGCGTCATTAAGGCACCATCTAATGGTCAGGCTAAACATATCAAACTTATTAATGGGAAGCTATCTTCACAACTTTCAAAAATGATCATTGTGTAACATGACAAAAAGCTACAAGGTTTTTCCATCAAATTATTTCTTTATGATGTCGATCTATATCGTCTTTCAACCTTTATATGACGTGACCATCAAAGCCAAATATCAACACCTACCCTGGTAAATATGATTGAAAAAGCCACTCTGCTTACTTGAACCCTTCGTTCCAGACCTGGCCACTTATTATTGTTCTGTACGAAGGAGATTTCCAAAGACACTTTAGTTTACTGATGTTATGATTCTACTCTGTAGAAACATTGAAAAGAATTCTGCTCACATAATTCGGATTTCAAGTCGGAACAACCTCCGCACTCTCACATTTCGCGTTCCGCACTCGGAGCTAAGATCTCCGTCAGGGGTTACAACCAATCAGAGTTCATGAAAATTAGCTGACCAATTACGATATTTTGAATCTCTCTCTCTCTCTCTCTTACAAATTACATGTATTCGAGATTTCAGCCTCTTCGGTGGCATTCAGCCTTATCATCGGATACAAATCAATCGATGCAGCACGAGGAGAAGGATTGGAAAATGGACTATCTCTCTCTCGACTCTCTCGACTCACTCTCTCTCAAGATTGAAACTGTGCTAGTCATTTCCCAACAAGTCGTGGATAAATTCAATTGACCCCTCCATGAACGTTGTAAAGTCAAATATCAGCCAACTTGTCAAACCGAACAAACCGAATAAACCGAACAATCCAGAAGAGTCATGACAAATATTTCTCTAATAATCTTTTGAATACGTGGATCTTGATTGGTCAATGTGAAAGATGATTGATAAGATTGGAGAATCAAGTGGGTCGAGGTTTGCTTCGTTATCATTTCTTTTTGGGAATTATTTGCACTTATTATTCTCATATTCGCACACTCTCACCGGCTATTTCCCTGGGAGAAAGTGAAGCCAGAGATAGAAAATAGCAAGTAAAGAGGGGCCCCGATGGAAATACTAACTCGATATGGAAACTCGATGCTGAAGGCTTCAAAAAATGCTGGTGGATCGTACCGGGTGGATTTCGACTTTGAAGATGAGGAGGTCTGTGAGGAGTGAAGTGAGGAGTGAAGTGAGGAGTGCAGTGAAGTAAATAATGTAAAGTGGAGGTTACCGGTCACCTAGGTTTCAGTTCCGTACTACTAAAGGTTGAAATCTTACCACCTTCACCTTTTCAATCTGCGAATATCATCAATAATAGTGATACCAGTAGTGTGTGAGAAAGATTCATTCACTTCTGTCTTTATCTTACTTCTCTTGTCTTCTGTAAGTTTTCATTCTCTCTACTCTCTACACTACCGTATTTGCCCTCGAAATTTTCCGAATCGTTTGCTTCTCTTATTCCATAAAAAAAGATAGAGCGGGAAAAGAGAACACTTACTTACTTTTTGATCTTCTACTTCAACAGAATACCAACCATCACACATCATAATACAACCCATTTATCAAAATGGCATCCGCTACTCGAACCTTTGCTCGCGCAGGCGCTGCATTCAAATCAACACCTTTCAGATCCGCCACTCGTACTGCATTGAGTGCTCCTCGTCAAGCATTCCGTCAACAATCTCGTCGTGGATATGCATCTGAAGGACCTGCCAAATCTTCCTTCCCTCTCTCTATCGGTGTTGCTGCGTTGGCCGTTGCTGGAGGTGCTGGATATTACTTTATCTCTCAAGGTAATGGATCACTCTTGAGTGGTTCTGCCAAGGAAACCGCCGGTCTCTTCACACCTACATACGACGATTACCAAAAGGTTTACAATGAAATTGCAGAGAGATTGGAGGAGAAGGATGATTATGATGATGGTTCTTACGGACCCGTCTTGCTCAGATTGGCGTGGCATTGCAGCGGAACCTTCGACAAGGAAACTGGTACCGGTGGTAGCAATGGTGCTACTATGAGATTTGCCCCAGAGGGTGATCATGGTGCCAATGCTGGTTTGGTTGCTGCTAGAGATTTCTTGGCTCCTATTAAGGGTAAGGCGATCATTTTACTTATTTGTGGATGAAGATGTGTTACCCCTCTGGTACGGGTGAGTGGGCCGGGGAAATGGAGGCCAGCTTGGAGAAGTTAGAGATGGCTTTCCATACTGGTTTTTGTCGATCCGGAGACTAGGTGCCATGGGATTCCGGGGCTTGTTCTTATCAAACGTTGAGCAAGTAACTTCTGACTAACATCTTCACAGCTAAGCACCCATGGATCTCCTACTCTGATCTCTGGATCTTGGCTGGTATCTGTGCTATTCAAGAAATGCAGGGCCCAGTCATTCCTTTCCGACCAGGTAGACAAGATAAGGAAGCTGCTGCTTGCACACCTGATGGACGTCTCCCAGATGCATCCCAAGGTAACAAGCACTTGAGAGCTATCTTCGGTCGCATGGGATTCAATGATCAAGAAATCGTCGCTTTGAGTGGTGCTCACGCTCTTGGACGTTGCCACACTGATCGTAGTGGTTTTGAGGGTCCTTGGACTTTCTCTCCAACAGTTGTTACCAACGACTACTACAAGCTCTTGTTGAATGAGAAGTGGAACTGGAAAAAGTGGAATGGTCCTAAGCAGGTATGATTAACCCCTTCTCTTGACTTTTTTGGACGCCAAAATAGAAACTAAACTAACACAATCCAAAAATAGTACGAAGACAAGACCACCAAGTCCCTCATGATGCTTCCCACCGACATGGCCCTCGTCTCCGATAAATCTTTCCGCTCATACGTCGAGAAATACGCAAATGATGAATCTCTCTTCATGAAGGACTTCGCAAATGTCATCACCAAGCTCTTTGAACTCGGTGTTCCATTTGCAGAGACTACTGAACAAGCTCCTATGAAATTCAAGCCTACTGCCTAGAGAATTCATCTTCATCACCGAATCAACTTTGATATAGAGATATAAAGAAACGGAGAGAAAAAATGAGTTGGATGGATAGATAGACTGTGTTTGCTTAATCCTTTTTAGAAGCGGGAGTTTGGTGAAACAAGATATCTAGATGGGTGAGTTGATATTCTGTCATTTGAGAGAAATATCATCATCGTAGGCAGGCGTGGATGAGATGAAATGATATCCTATGTGATTTGACGAATGGTAATAAAATGCTGCGTCTGACCAGCTTTGACTGCGTCAGGTGGCTTGATTGTTACATCCTCTCGGTGTGGGGAGATATGAAAATATGTACAATAGGAGACTAGATTTGCTACATAGAGTAGAGAGTAGATAAAAAGAACATTCCGCCCCAATATCTGAGTACCTACATCAAGTTGTTGGAACTTTGAAATAAATGTATATCTGGTGATTTTGATGTATGATGCAAAGGGAAGATTGAAGAGAGGTGAGTGACAGACAGTCGATATATAATGATCGCTTGCTAGCAGCTAACTTGAAGGAGTTGAGGACGTAAGGGGTGATGTTTGAGAGGCATGATAAGACAGGGTTCCCCGCACTGAGGGGAAGGGGGAATGACGGGGACATAGCCGGGTCCGCTTGAGTTCGAAGGATTGACTTGGATTGATGGATGTAGGGGTAAATTTATTGGGGATGGTCGTTTGGATTGTCAGTTCGGCACTTTATTAGATGAGAGCAAATGATATATTTCAGGGGAGAGAGAATTGTACAAGAGGGGCTCGGGGGGTAGAGGGGTAGGGGATAGATTTTTCAGGTGTGTGAATGAATACTTTTGTTTCTATTTCTTAATTAGGCCAACGGTTATTAGAGATCTTAAGCTTAGTAGATTGGGTCTCCCGGGCGAGAAGGTGGGAAATGGAATTGAATGGATGTGCAGGTTATTTGACTTTCCGCGTGGATGTTGGAGACACGTCTAAAGCTGAATCTTCATGTTCATACACCTGCAGAGAGAATGGATTGTAAGTATCGGGGTATCGCAATTACTGAGTATCAAGTTTCTTAAATATACATCTGTATTCAGCAAACTCCATTCCATCCATCCGTCCATTAATACAAATCTTCTGAAAATATTCAATTCAGTAAATCACACCCCAATCCCAACCCCAACTGCACAATGGCCAACCACCAAACTTAAAAGTGATACAACGGATACTGTACTCCCACATCTCCCGCAAAAGAAGCAGTAACAACATACTTCGGCTTCCAACCCCATCCCTGTCTATAAACCAGCGCAGGCACCTCAGTATCCGCACCCACATCCACATCCACATCCACAGCACCCTCATCCCGATCCGGGAAATGACAAGCTGATTCACTTTCCTCACTATCCTCACTATCCATTTCCCCAGCAGGCTGAGCAGGCTGATCCTCAAAATCATCCGGAAAGATAAGACAACCTGCTCGACGGGGAAACTTATAGATATACCAGTCATCGAAAATTCTCAACACCATTTTTAATTCCGGCTCTGGCGCGACGGCAAGCAGGGTGTGGAAATATTGTTCTTCCTTTGTGCGGACGGTGGAGAAGTGAGACTCGACGTGTGCGCGAAAGGCGGGGAGATTGTGCGTTAGGAGGCCGAAGTCGGGGAGGGGGTTGAGGAGGGCGAGGAGCGAGGAAAGGGGAGAGAGGTGTCTCATCAAGTGTGTATCCATTGTGGATGCGATGGTGAGGGTGAGATCGTGGAGTTGGGGGAGGAGGAGCGAGGAGTAGGTGTGTGCCGGGTGGGGGGGAGTGAGGAGATGGGGGTCGAGGGTGGGAGGAGGGGGAGCGCGGGGTTGGGAGGGGTAGTAGAAATCGTAGGGGGGGGTTAGAGTAATGGATGTGGGTGGTTGAGGAAGGAGAGTTGATGGAGGTTGGCTGATGGGCTTGGTGACCTCTCTAGCGAATAGATTTGGTGGGTAAAGTGTGGTGGTATCTGTGCTGCCGTTCTTGGGAGGTGAGTAGGGAGGAGGGAGAGGTGCTATTGGTGTAACGGTAGTGACAATAATTTCTGGGACAACGAAGCGACGTGGAGGGGAAGCTCTGTGAATTTTGGGGTTAGTAAATTGGATGAATTGAAAGCTACAAGAGATACTCGCTCGTATAGAGTGGGATCAAGTTGATGATTTTGATAACCCATCAGAGACGCCTCGTCAGAAACCTTCGATCTGAGGAACTGATTGGGATGCTCGATGAATTTCTCGGGTTCACCAAGGGAACTAAGCGATGCGCTAGTTGAGGAGCTGCTGGAGCTGTTGGAGCTACTAGAGTATGGAGAGAAGTAAAGAGAAGCACTACGGATAAAGAAGGCGGAATTGAAAGACATTGTGAAGAGGCTTGCTGTTGATATATTGAGGATTGATTTTGAAGAATCGAAAATTTGGCTATGGTAAAGGAAAAGATGAGAACTTTGCTGGAATTCAATTCTATGTAAGTAGTAGAGTAGTGCTGGCTGTTTTGCGTTGCTTGAATAAGAAGAGGTAATAGCGGAAGAGAATTGAATTAGACTCGAAGGAGGAATTGAAATACTTCACAGAAGATCTAGGTAAAATCTCGTGATGAAATTCCGATCCTACTGTCAGACAAAAGTACATTACCATCGAAGCATAAAAGACCTTGCTGGTTAGGTGACTCATAGAGAATTTGTCAAATTCCGATTTTTCACATATAATTTTCTGTTGAGAAACCCAATAGTGAATTTGGGCACAATAAAATCACAAACGGACCAACAGAAAAAAAATCGAAATTCACTTTTGAGTACGAGAAATTACATTATAACAATGAAACTTATGATAACGAGAACAATAAACCGAGAGTTCCCAATGGCGGATAAAGAATAGCGTATAGCTCGCTGAATCATACTCATCAAATGTATATAGGTTTTGCTGGATGATAGCATCCTACGATCAAACTCGGGCACGCTTGCGTATACACAGAGAGCTACCTTGAGGTCAACTGCTAAGCTGCTAGAGTATGTTGTGTGCCTTTTACGTCAAGAAAATTCGCTAACCTTGATATTGATTTTTGACAGGACGAGGCACTATTGGTGATTGAAAACGTGGTAGGAGGGAAACTACCATCACGAGATGAACGTTTTTCAATCGTCCAAAATATATTTCGACAAATAAGCATTCAAATGATTCCTCTGGTACTACTCACCCCATCAAATAACACTTTGCCCGCAGAATTTACTCTTTCAACAGAGCGGCGGATACTATCAATGGAGGAACTTAGATGACCAAGTGAGATCATCCAAAATTCTTGTAACTTGACGATTTTACTACTTGATAACCTCGACACAAAGTTTTCACGGTATTGGGAAGAATTTCAAAGCCAACGTTAGAGAGCCTTCGCAGTGTAGTCCACACGAATATCTGGATGAATTGTACAAAAAAAAATCATGGGAAGTGAAGAGAAGCGGATTTAACGGGCGAAAGATATCAGAGCCGGTCGTCTAATGTGGTCGACAATGTATCTCCTAACAACAAATTTGGGTCTGATATCTTGGAAACATTCGAGCGCCCTTGATGAGATGGAAGAACAAATGTATATCGCGGTGCCGGTCATATGATGTCAAACTTCCAGGCTGACACATGTACAAGACGAAGGACTAAAGCTAGTAGCAGCAGAACAGGAACAAATATAAGGACTTAGAGGAAATAGATAGAAGAGAAATATGTAAGTCGACTTGGAGAAGTGGACATTACCAAATGATTGAGATGAATAATTGCTAAATTCTAACAACAGACACTTGGTGACGAAGGTATGGTTCCAATGCGGGCCTATCAAACACTCTACATTTCGGATATGGTTTCCGAACTGGTACATTCCAGCTTTCTTGTTGGTAGAACAACAGTCTCTGTTGGTGCTATGCCTCCGATCCACCATGGGTCTGGTGTGCACTGGAAAATCACCATATTAGAGCCTTACTAGCTCTCCCTCTCGATGCCATTGCACTGAGATTGGGCATCTTATGGCAGCTAGGTCATCTTGAGATATAAAAGATCGACAGAAGCTAAATCTCCCCAGCATCATTGAACTTTTGATTGTTCAATACTATTTGAAATGTTCAGACGAAGACGAAATTGTATCTAATCATGAGCAAATCATTTCAAGAGAGCCGAACTTCTCTTTTCAAAAGCAACAGTCAGAAAGAGGACATAAAATTTCATATCTTTCGGAAGGAATGAATGAAGAGGAGTGTCCCCTCTCGCATTTAAAATGCTGGGAAAGGTCGTTGGTGGTTGCTTTGTCAGCTTGAGCTAATTTGCACCACCCTCCATTTGAGATTTCAAGGTCAACATCATCTACCTCCTCATTCCGCCGAAACGAAAGCCGGCAAACCAAACCCTTGCCTTTGAAGATAGCCGAAATGAATACCGGACTCAGTCGCTCAACAACAATGAAACAAACAATCAATGATAGCCAGCAGTAGTAGAGTGGCTATTCAGATACCCAAGCATTCATTAGCCGCAGGGTTGGACAGCTTCACCAACATTTTGAAGCGGTATTTTGACAACTAGAGGATTTTTGCTTGACCCCATTTGATTCTCTTATTCAACCAGTCGTAAGTTTTGTTGACTTTCTAAGTGTCGTAATGCGAGAATTAAAGTCAGGTCGGAGGACATGCCCTACTCGGCCTCAGACCATATAATTCACCACCAACATTCAAACGAACAATCCCTCATTCTTTTAAATATCAATCATCCGTTGGTAGAATTCATCTCTCGAATATTCTCGGGGTGACGTCTTATTGAATCTCGCGCTTTCTATCGCTTACAATTATTCAATATTGTTCATAAAGCATTTAGCCAATGACACCATCCCAAGCGACGATTATATATGATGTATGGGCTTTTCATTCTATCCTTGCAGACACCGGAATCTCACAAGCTGGAGTAATTTTGATTGACGACGGAGGAAAAGCAGTGGAGAATAACTATCATCTTTGTGTCTATCATACATCTCGAGACCTATCGAGATGGCACACATCCTACAAGCAATTACTGCAATTTTCACTAGGTGGAAATATGATCTATGAAGGTAAAGTCTTCGGAGACGACAGGCTACCCTTCGACGCGATTTGTCGGAGCGTGGAGCCAATAGCGAAAAGTTTAGATGTACCATTAAACAGCGCCGCTGACTGGATTGAAACATGGGAGGACTATATGAATCGTCCAAATATCGCACACATTCTTTTCGACAGACCTGAAAAGCTCCCTATTGACTTCATCAGTTCTGACACTTACTCACAATCGCGAAATAATTATCCGTCACCGTATTCTTTTGAATCGGTTGATTGGAGCAACATTGCATATAAGCCACAAAGAAATACTGAGCCAGATCAGAAAAATTGTCGAAGATCTCGGAGTTCTAACAGGGAACCACATCATCATAAGTATCACGCCCGGGAGCGATATGTCTCCAGAGATTTAGAATCTTCTGATGATGGTTCGAATTACAGCGAGGAAGAGGAGGTGTTTCATGGACCCCGATCAGCAAGACATTCTCGCTTACCTAGAGAGTACAGACAAGACGATGAGCCAAGTGAAAAGCCTGAAAACAAGAAGTTGAAGTATGCAGGTATGATTGCTGAAACGGTGACAGCTAATGCCATTGGAGATGTGTTTGGGTTGATATTCGAGTCTGTTATTGGGGCTATTTTGTAGGAAGTCAGTAGTAGATACTTTATAATTCTAGTCTCAGTTTGTAGCATTGTATACAGTATTAAACAATTTTCTTTCTTACTCCAATAAACATCTAAATATATCCATGGCGGCTCGAAGCCATAGTAAGAGATTCCTCCCTAGACTTCTTATCTATTATGTACATTGAAATACTCGAGCATTCTGGACCTTTGTAACAACACTCAAGGCTTCGCATAGGACTGGGAAATCCCGCTCCACAACTTCTTAATCATCTATCGCGGCAAATAGAATTAGCGACACTTGCCATCAATAACTTCGATGTCTTCACAAGGTAGCACAAACCTTTGGATTTAGAATTTCATTTTCTCCTCGATCATTCCTGGCTCTCCGAGGGCGTAGAACTTGTCTTCGTCTTCTGTGTCTACATCCGCTGGCAGGATTCCTATTCACACGTCCACCCCTGTATTTTTGTCTTTCTCCCCGCTCGTGTGTCCTAACCTCACACCCCAACCTTCTTCTTAACCTTCCTAACATCAAAGAATCACATACCCCCGGGCGCTCTATCTCACTTCTTCTTCTTCTCCTTCTAGAATCTCTCCCTTGCTGCCTCTCCCTCCTCCTCTCCCTCTCTCTACCCAAGTCTCTATCTCTACGCTCTGTGAGGATACTTTCCACCCAAATGCCCTCTCGAGCCAAATCCAAAAATAACATCTTCGTCCACTCTGCTGGCTTCCTCAATAATTCCATTTCTTCAGCACTACAATGTCGTGAAGTTATTGAAGCACATATCTGGAGGTAGAGAGGTAGGGAAGAGGCAAGAATGCTACCTTGCCAACTAGATCTACCACCAATGGAACTAGGTAGTGAAGACCTGAATGCGGATGCGGATGGGACGGAGGACAAGGAATTGTGTGTTGTATGGAAGAGATATGGGATCGGGAATTGGTTCGAGGAGGATAGCGGGAACTCTGACGTGCATGTAGACATGGGTATGGATAAGGTTGGATATGGAGCAATGAGAACGCCCTCTTGAATGACTCCCGTCTCTCCATATGCAACCCAAATCTCAAAGACTTGTAATATATTTTCGCTTCCCATATTTCTTATTCCCATGTTTGTTATAACTGTATGACTTTCCGATATAGAGTTCAGAATACGTATCGCTTACACAATGAAATGATGTGGAATATGGTGATGCAAATAGTAGTAGATTTGCTGATGCTCTTCGAATATAAGTACTGGCTTATCTCTGAACCATATATAATGATTCCCAAAGCATTCAAACGAGTATCCACGAACCTCGCGTTCGTTCACACGTAAGCAGTCTAATTCGCCTCCTTTCCCAAGCCCTCCCCACAGCTTATCATACATAATCTCATCGATCAAGCATCCCAAAACATCAAGATTCAGAGGCAGCTAAATTCCCATGCGCGCGCGTACGACATCTCACCTCATCGCATCTCGATTCTTCTTACAGCATTCGTGAGAACCGAGCCCCCGAAATCAGTTCAAATTGGAGATATAGGTCTGTGAACCTGTGGAGCACTAATGATAGAGCCCGATATACCCTGAAGTATCCATCATTTAGAGTGAAGTGTACCGTCTTACAGTAAGCGGGGATGTCAAAACCCCTGAGAAGTCGGAGCCCAAGAGGCCGAGATATACATTCCCTAGTAAGCACAAGATTTTTTTCCAGCCGATGAAGTAAAAGGGGTGGGTGTTTCGTGTTTCAAGCTGGAAATTGATGTCTGTGATAAATGTTCGATACTTTTCAAAGACCAATCGATGGAAAAGAGGAAACAGTTGGTAAGTAGGCACCTACTCGTACCTGGTTACTACAATATTTATTGAGGTGTGTTCTTATCACGGCTCGACCACTGTCACATGATTATTTGGCTCGATTTGGTTAACATTTACTAAATCAGCGGGTCACGTCAGCTAAATTCGCACCTATTAATCTTCCATCCAACACTTCCAAGCCCCGCATCAACTAAGTTACCATCAGCATCCTTCACAGTTCCAAGCAGGCCGCGATTATAACAAGCTGCAATCATTCCTTTTCTTCTGTTTTATTCTGTAGCCTGATCCTGTATCAAGACATTTGACGCACAGGCTTCTGATACTCCTCTGTCTTCCTTCAGGGCTGATCGATGAGAGCACGGAGTTTTCTGGAATCACAAATGTTGGTATTCAATCAAAAGTTGACTCTGTTCTTGGATGAAAGTTAGAGCAAGTGGCTCTAATCTTTTTGCCCCATTCTCGCCGTCGCGAAATCGGTGGACATCTACTGATGTCCATATGGTGTCCAGTCATTCGGACTGGTAAATTGGGCCAAGCTCCCAATGATTAAAACGATACGATATTCAAAATGAGATTCAATTCTTCAACCCAATTGAATCATCCAATCGAATCCAAAAATCAAATCTATTGATTACCAGACTGCAGTCCAGTCCTTTGGAAATTCAAAATACTCAAATCCATATTCCATCACTTGTTAAAACCTATGGTAATTTCAGCGTTATTGTCATCTAGCACAAAGTCTTCCTTACTCATTTTCAACTTACTGCAATAACAGATATTCAAGTCTGATCATATTCACATCTTATTTGCGGAATGCTCTCGGTCTTATTCACCACCGTGTCGGAAAGCTACATCCTTTCATCTAAGGATATTTGTAAGAGGCTTTTATGCTTCTCTAATCACTGCAATTGCGTCAGGCACTACCAGGGACCAAGACTATTAGATCTATCGGAGTTGTTATGGCTTTGATTGTCTTGGACCTTCCTAGGCAATCCTCGAGTCCACTTTGACATTTAGTCGTTACTTGAGAATATTCGGTGTCAACCCCACGTGATTTCTAATATTAAATATCACTCCCTCAGCTCTAGTACATCTCTTGTATTTGATTCCCGAGGCAAATTTGCTCCGCTTTTTCCAATTCGTTATTGTTGGATCCCAACAGCACTCTCGGCTTGCGTTTTGCCTATAATTTGAATACCGAGTCATTCGATTAGAAGGAAAGAGTTTTCTGGACCGGTTATAATGAACTCCCCTGCGTTCTGATTTGAGGTCCTATCAGCTCATAAATCATTCTACACGCGGTGGCTGATAGCTAGGGACACATGTTTCAGTGGTTCATTTCGCCCTTCCCTTCATTGTAGTACACTTTTATTTTCAACACATTGCACGAATACCTTGAAATGAACAAGAAACGCTGCAAAGTATATGCTAGTGAATTCTCGAATCATATGAGCTTATTAGCTTAGCTGCCGAGTCATTCATACTGCTCATATCATCTAATGCCTCAATTTCTCATGCAGTAATTGCAGTTCGTGATTCACACGGTTGGTACCGAGACACGGCGACTTTCCGGCCTTACATCGGTGCCAGGATGTCATAGTAATACCAGATGACCATGCGAGCCCATCTTACTGGAATGCGGGGTGCAGGTTGGATAATACACATTATATGCCATGTGGCTTCAGAGGCTTATCCGCTTCTTTGGTTTGTGGAGCAAAAGTCTATATAGCTTCTAGTTGTACGGGGTTGAGAATATCAGAACAAAAAAAGCAGCCAATCATATCATGCAATATGTATATGCATCAAATGTTGGTGAGATATTGAATCGGTGTTTCATTCAGGCTGTTCATTTACCTAGGTATTTATTTACTCGTAGATTTGCATTAAATTCATATGAAACCGACGAAAGCCCGTCTGCGCCATTACCTGTCGTCTTGTTTACTGCGGCGTGGTCTTTAGTTGCACCTACTTTAAGATGCGACATATGTTTGGCACCACAAATGAGCTTCTAATATGTTCGTCTGACCACCTAGACCCTTAAGATTAGAACCTCATCACACAAATATGTCATTTTTTATTTCTTATCCACAAATTCATATATGCCGAAAGGTTATTTTGATTCCGAACAATTTGATTCGACGGTGCACGATGCCTAGAAAATAGTCAGAAAGTGCCGTGGTTCCTGATTCACTCCAGCATGGAATGTTCGCTCCGATTAAATTTGTGCTCGTATCGTATGACATTAGGACGATTTCAAGAAATCATTCTAGTTTAAAATGGGGTGAAATCCGGGGAAATTTGTGGAGATTAAGGAATCTTATTCTCACTTGCTGGCCTCTTTATAAAGACACAAGACTTGAGCCTTCGACCTTCAACCTTCGATCTTGAACCTTCAAACAACACTGACGATCAACTGTCAAGCTCAGTCTTCAGTATGCTTTTCTTTCAAGCAATCTTCGTTGTTACATCTGCTCTCACAGCAACTTGTATGACAATCAATTCTCAAGATGTTCAAACCGATATCGAGAAGAGACAGAGTTGGAAATCCATTGGTTGCTACACGGACAATGTTTCTGGTCGTGGTCTGACCACCCCCATATCAGTATCTGGAGCAATGACAAATGAAGGTTGTCAAGCCTCTTTTTCAGCAGCTGGGTTCTCATACGCTGGTACTGAGTACGGAGGAGAATGCTGTGAGTTCCTTGCCTACTCTACCCCTCCTACCCCTCTTTCATACTCTCTCACGTTTGCTAATACATCTATAAACAGGGTGTGGCAACTCAATCATCAATGGAAATGGACCTGCCGCAGATGGTTGCAATATGGCCTGCAAGGGTAATAATGCAGAGATGTGCGGCGGACCAAATCGTCTTACTACATTCCAGAGTGGTGGCGGATCGAGCACAACTCCTCCCAGCAACCCTAATCCAAGCAAATCTGGAAAACGCGGTATCACATACGATTCTAATAATGTCCATGGTGATTCGACATATGGAAATATGCTCAAGGGATATAGTAAGATTACTTGGGGTTATGATTGGGGATTCAAGAGTAATGGTTTGGATTCAAGTATTGAATTGTAAGTTTCTTCTTTTTCTTTTTCTTTTTTCCTCTTGCTCTTTTCCCTTTTCTTCCAGTTCAATCTACTCCATCATGATGAATCAAATAGTCAACATATAACTAACACACCCCCAGCGTTCCCATGCTCTGGGGCCTCCCCAAGATCATGGATTCAAACTGGGTTTCCGCCGTCCAAACCGCAAAAAGCATCCTCGGTTTCAACGAACCCGATCTGACTTACGAACAATCTTCCAACATGCTTCCTGAAGCCGCAGCCGCAGGATACAAATCCTACATTGAGCAATTCAAAGGACAGGTCCGTATTGGTGGTCCGGGTGTTTTGTGGAACAACTGGAATAGCGTAAGACTCTCTCATTCATTCATTCACTCTTCTCACCCCTTCAAATCCTCTCAACACTTCATCACAACATCCAAGTAACCCCTCTCTTCCCCCCAGTGGTCTTCAGGCGGCTCCTACAGCTCTCGCACCTGGACGCAATATTTCCTCGGAAACTGCAGCACCTGCGCCATCGACTTCGCCGCCATCCACTACTACCAAGACTGCGAGCCGAGCAGCGGCCAATCTGGTTCCGACTGGTTCATCTCCAACGTGACGCACGCCCACGAAACCCTCAAACTGCCCATCTGGATCACGGAATTCCAATGCTATGGCTCGGATGCGCAGCAAGCGGCTTTCTTGAGGAAGGTTCTGCCGTGGTTGGATACTCAGGATTATGTAGAGAGGTACTCGTATTTTGGGGTTTTCCCGGGGTTTTTGTTGGATGTCGCGGGGACGAAGTTGAGTGAGGCGGGAATGGTGTATGTTAGTTAGAGTTGGAGAGGGGAAAAGGGGGGGTTGGATTTGTTTAGATGGTTTTTGGGGGTTGGGGATGGGGGTAGGTTTTGGGTGGTATTCTGTTTTTGGGGGGGGTTTTGTTGTTTCTGAGGGTGCAGGCACCTTGGGATAGAGATGATTTGTTTCTTGATCAAGCGACTTTTGGATAAAGAATTCAACCAGAATTTGTAGATGTTTGAGATGAAAAATGAATGCTTTTAATCTTCTCATGTGTTAGCTATTCCATTCCAAGTTTGAAATAGCATGAATGAAGTGGTTACCTAAGTAGATCCTACCTCGAATCTACAAATTCAAAACATCTGTGACCAATTTAAGGAGGGAAAAAAATCTCATTATATCATTTATCCAAGTCCATAAGAAAATATGAAAGCGTGCAAGCAGCTATGTAACGTAGGTATTAATAGTATGATAAGAGGCAGGCGCATGATGTCTTTATCATCTCTACTATACTTGTGCAATTTCCTAATCCATCTTCATCGCCGACCCTGAGAACAAGAGCAAGAAATATATCGATTGCAAAACAATGATACCAAACTCCATCTCAAATACTCCGCGCCCAAAGATTTATTTGATTCCTTCGTGATATCATTAATTCATGTAATGGTATTACACATTTACATTTCCACCGCTTTCTCCAACTCCTCTGTCTGGTGTCTTCATACCATGCCGTACTATGTCATGCTACTCTATGAAAGTAATATGAGCTCAATATCCATTATCCCAAATATCATCTTCACTCTTGATCATTTCTACAACCGGTGTTTTGGGCATAGCTCTCTTCATCTTCTTTCTATCCTCCTTGGTCACTAAACGCGGCGTAATCGGCATCATGGGTGTAAATGGTTGATAAGGACTATATGGTACCGTACCTCCGCTGAAAGGTGTTTTAAGACCTCCCGTTCTAAGACCTCCGGTTTTCTGTCCATTATCCCGAGGGACACGTTCGAGAATGGTGGTTTTGGTGGGGAGGTTTGGGGAGAGCATATTTTGTTGAAATTGCTCGCGGAAGGGGAGAGAGCGGGTTGGTGCTGAGGAGGTATAGCTAGCGGTTTGATAAGTGGAGGTAGAGCCGATAGCTGTGGATGATGAGGGGGAATCAGGAGAGGCAGAAGAACCATTCGAGGTATGGATTTTATGGAGGAGAGAGTTTTTTGAAGGAGCAGCCCGAAGAGGTCGAGAAAACATAGTTTTGGTGCGTTCTTCTGCTGATTGAGGAGAAGCAGTATTTGGTTCGGATTTGAGGGAGATTTGGAGATTGCGGGTGTTAAGGGATGGGAGTTTTTGTTGAGGAGACACAGGTGATATTGTGTCGAGGGTCTCTGCTATACTTCGAGTAGGTGATCCACCGTTAGATGATGTGGAGCCGTACGGGGCTTGGTTTCTTGGAATTGGTGGCGGGGCTCTATGCACGTATCCTCGTGGTGTTAAAGGCTCTTCATCCGATGCGGCATGTGAGAAAGTGGTTGAGTGTGGCGTTGCAATTGGAGATGAAATTCGTAAACCTCGAATTCCTTTTCTTCGTGGAGATTTGGGTGATTTGGGTGCAGATCTAGGAGAGGTAAGAGCTGAAATTATGGAGGATGCTCGAGAGTGGGTCTTGGCTGATTTATTATCGTTGACATTGATTTCCGCAGGCTTATGTTTCCCAAGTTTCCTTGATGATAGTTGTACTTGCTGTGGTGCTACCGTAGATACTCCTCCAGGTACTTTGGGAGGTGGCATGGTTCTTACATCCATTCCTGCAGCCTTTGCTTCCTCTTGCTCCATCACATGAGCGTATAGATCCTCCAGATTTCGATTCATCATTTCTCGATCAGCTTCAACAATCTTATTATCAACACTAGGCTGACTTTGGTGGGAATATATACTCTGGTGTATGCTGTGATGTCTTTGAGCAGGATAAACGTAGGGATTTGTGTATGATTCTTGTATTGAAGGGAAAACAAAAGCGTTTGGGTCGGGATTGATTGCTGGGGCGAAGCACTTTTTATCTGGAGATGGCCAGGAAAAGTTGCGAAGATTTGATGGAGAAATTGGAGTTGGACCTGATGATCCAGTATAAACGCCAGCAAATGTTGAGTCGACTAATTCCACCTCCAAGGCTCTGGCTTCTAAATCAACCTGTCTTCGTAATCTTTTCCCAAGAGTAATTATGAGAATTCCCACGATGCAAAGAGAGAATAGATATGCACCGATAATACCACCAATCTGAGCCGGTAAAAGTGCTTTATTTCGTGAAGCTCCGGCTGAAAGAGGTGGACCGTCTTCTGGTGGTGGTGCTGGGGACCAATCTATTCCCAATGGATTACTTCGAGAAAGTTTTCTTGTAGAGATTGGATTCGCGATTACCTTGATAGGCAAAAGAGCAAAAGTCGAGAAGATGCAAAGAAGGGACGATAGTGAAGTGGATGTTGAGCAAATCAAAAGAATGGACGATGGTATATTGATACGATCTGATTCACCTCGAAGCATTTTGTGTATGTGATGATACGATTGACCTCTTTTATAGCCTCAACATTTCAAATGGAGCATATTGTAAGTGTATCATGAACTCCTCTTGAAACGATTTTAGATATTTTGAGATAATAATCGACATGAAGTGTTCCAGCTTCTGAATTTCAAGGGGATATGAATTGATGTATATACGGGAGTGAAATCCTCCAAAGCCGGGCAAAGCTACATGCTGCACAACTGCATAGGTACTATTATTATTCTGCGCGAGATGCGTACCTACAGACTATTACAGACCTCCTACCTAGGCAAGATCGAGTATAGATGTTCGAGTGTAACGCTATCTAGGAATTGGGTTGGATGAAGGGTATGAAGTGATAGAATATCTGTTTGGTCGATGTGCATTTTGTATGGTCAAGGAAGAAGAGAATGAGATGTCCCCCATGGCAATGTTTGATAGCGCCCGGAAGATAAATTGACCAATAGAATGATAGATCAACGAGAAATACCAGGGATTCAAAGGGAATATCAACGAATATAGTCAATGCAGATACTTAATTGGGAGAAACATCCAGCGTCCTCGTTTGGGCTGCAGTCAGATTTTCGTTATGATCCGAGAGTGAAGGGTGATAATTGCTGTGGTTGGTTGAAGAGATGTGAAGAGAGTGAAGGGTGCAGAAATTGAAGGAAATGGAGAAAATGTTACCGTCCTCTTGTGCTTGTTCTGCATTTTGATTGGATGACTGTTATGGACATTGGCATGGGGTTTTAAGCGCCCGGGAAAGAGGTGGAGTGGGGTCTAGAGTTTCCTGTCAATGTCATTTAATTATCCGGAAGTGAGTTACAAGTTGTAACTTACAACTACCGAATCCTAATATCGATAGCCATACCAGTACTGGGGAAAGAGAATCAAATTTCTCTCAATGGCTCTGGTCGTAACAGCTTCTCTCACCACATCATATCACATCACACCAATCGATGGCTTTGATCATCCTCATCCTCATCCTCATCCTCATATCAATTTGGACTCCAGCTACTACAAAGTATGCACATGAATAACAGCAGAACAACTGTAGAATTCACGTTCTTGCCATATGAATCCTGTATAGAAATCTAGTTCTACGCGAATGAGAAGAGTCTGACAAGCATTCCTGCTATCCTCACTCCTTTGGTTTGATTTATTTGTCGCCTCATTTATTCAATTTTGCATTCGTTGTTTCAGATCCTTCTGCTGCTACGAGGAAACTGGAAATCACATAGGCGATTAGTGCAATCGAAATCGAATATCACGATACATACCGGTATCAGGTTAATTTGGAGAACTATACAAAAAAAATGTTTAGATAACGCTTGAGATTCTTAGCTATAGCTACCTTTCAACTCGTCTATGAAGTACTTTTTCAATTTATATGGTTTCGACTAGAACCAACGCCATGCTGGATTCTACTACAGGAATCATGAAGCTATTCTTCTATGTTCCTTATGACTTGACTTTTTTGATTTCTTTGGTAACTTCTTTACCTCATCAAGTTGACTCAGTTTATTTGTCGGTATCGCATCTGCTGCTCTTCTTGCTTTATGCGCTTCCTCATGCTTAACTCGCTTCTCTGTGAGATCCGTCATATTTTTCCCCCATGGATTACTTATATCATCTATAAGCGAATTATTAGGCGTTCTCCTGGGCAAACTAGTCAATACATTTCTTGTCTCGGGTGGATCCTTAGGATCCCTGAGAATTGACTTTGGTGCGGTTCCTGTGCTTGTACTTGTAGAGGGCTGTCCATTTTTAGATGGAATGGACTTGTTTTTCGTGTCTTTCTGGACTTTCTTGAGAAATGTGGACATCTTGTGATTCAATCCGGATTGTGTGTTGTGTGATTGTGTGAAGCAGAATGTTGATAGTGTAAATATTCGTTGATGTGATATGATTTTTAGTCTACTCTCGACAATATTCTCGTCTTTATATACAGTTTACTTTGTTGTTTTACTGACCGTCGTCGTGTCCCATTCCCACTTAATTGAACTTTAAATGACTTCAATCATGTAAATTAGTTGGCGGTCTTGGGTGGTGCTAGCTTACCGCCGATGAGCTATTATTATAACATATTTCACGTAAGCGACCTCAATTGACCTCGTAAAGACGTACTTCATCAATGAATCAAGTCATTCATGTCGATAATCAATTGCAAGTTCAATTGAAGCTCGTTGATTCCATCATTTGGACATGAATGATAATGCGCTGAGATTTAAAGGAACACATTTTGGTAACTATTAGTTTCACCTGTATAAACAATCATTACTTTCAAAAATTCATATCTCGTTATGTTTGTCCGCTTACGCTTCTTCCCAGTCCTCAACTTGTCAAATCAGTCACATTCGACATTGAAATCTTCAAAATATTTGACATCATACTTGGAACACCTTTTCGGAGTCATACCTGGTGGCCGCAGCCCAGATTTTCTGAATATTAGCGGTCCCGCAGCCTTCTAACAGTTGCTGCGTCTTACATGCATCGTCCAGATCGATAAATTGATTTAAATTGACCGATGCAAACTGTATAGCCACTTGGTTGGAAAAAATCATCGTGTTGCCCGTCATTCCATACCCATCAACATTGAAATATCGAATGTAGTCCATGATTATTTGTGTGAGATGATTGATAAAATTTACATACAGACAAGCGTCTTGTTGAATTGGTCAAATTCAGGCATGTCGCCACCCTCTTTAACGTCAATTCGACCAAAGGTAGTCAGAATAGATTAGAACATATCTTGCATGGTCTAGTTACAATTGATCCACCGTTGGTTGTGGGAAATTGAAGCCTTGTAGGTGTGCCAACTGCAAGTATAGCTTAAAATACCTATAGCTACTTGTCTGCTCGAGTTCCATCATGAGATTGGTCGTAATGGTAATATTCATGGAATCAGATGTATTTCCGGGCATACCTAGCCAGAGACTCTGTGGCCGCTGAAGTAGCCACAGCGGGGCTTGTAAAACCATACGCGTTGACAAAGATAGTTGGCTTCGTCAAAGTAGGGTGTTGCTATATGCTGATGGCAGAGCAGAATAGATCATTGCTGATTCAGTTATCAAAGGGGTAATTATGGCTTGGAGTTTTTGGGCTGTAGTGCTACCTGGATCTGTCCCAATATCTCCCCCGATAATGTTTGGCGACCAGCCAAAGTCTCCAAACATAGTCTAGTGATGATTCCAAGGGGTTCTAAGACGCCTGTCAATGTTTGAAAGAAGTTTGATTTACTTATATCCTTGGCATTGATTATTGTGACATTTGCAAGTACGATGTCGGACTTCCTAAAGGTTAAATTAACTTTGACATTTCCAATGTAGCTGCACGATCTCCAGCAACAGTGATACTGTACCTGGCCATCGTCTCATGTACTGATCAGCATAACACTTGAAAGATGAGGTTAGTCAGCGTGAATCTTAGGGTACCGCGTGGATGGATAATAGAATGTTCATGAATAGTATGAAGTTTTACTGTTTGTGGCGGTACTATTAGTATGTGAAGTTACACCAGCTACCACCACAAACAAAGCGACGGCTTTTTCGTGTCTTATTTTAAATCATGAACTGGGTGGTTAGGATGTTTGAGGGCATGGGGTATCAAAGCAAGGAAAAAGAATATCTATGCACGACCATGAAGTTTGGTGTTGAAAGATAATGATCGGTGAAGATCTATAGAAGATAATTTAACACACGCCCATTCCTGATGATACCTGAAAGTATCTAGTAAGTACTGACATCATGCAGATGGGGCTGAGATGTGGCGGGTATATACTCAGTCGTGGCAATCGAGGCAATGTATTCAAATCCAAATCATCCAGAATCCAAATCTCTTCGAGTCAAGTGGTGACACCCTGTCCTCGAGAACAGTAAAGTTCATGGCGTACCCTTCAGCTATTCATTATTCAATTCAATCAAGCATAATAATTCAGTCAACAATCAATGTTAGATTTTTCTTTTACGGCTACTACCGTGGGTGTTGAAAGAGCTTAGCAGTAACAGAGCTTAGAAGGATTCACCCGCCCACTGAACATTCTGGATGATTGAACGATTAACAATCGCCGACCTAAAAATGCAAGAATTGTCTCATTAGGGTTGATTCAACCTTTGATACCTCCTAAAAAAGGAATCTTCCTAGAATATCACTCAAATAAGTTTAGTTATTCAGCTGGCCAAGGCGTGCAGTTGGTAGGTGAACCCTTCCATTTAATATTCTTACTGTTTCTAAATTCGCTTCCAGTGTGTAATTGTAGGCTAGTTACTAGCCTAAGATCTGGTCGAAACCACTGCGCCGGTATCGAATCAATAGTATCGTCTCAATGATCACAAGTCTTTTGTTTTTTGGGCTTTTTCTCATCGATCGGTAGAGTTTTACATTTCAGTGGGTGTTGTGAGCAGAGTGTCGGTGATTAATTGTGGCATGTGCTATTATACAAAGTTAACCCTGTTAAGGGTTCTATAGTCTGTGCTAAACCTTAGTATTCCAGAAGGACGGAATATTGGTCACATTGGGAATCGACAACGAGAATTGCGATCATGAATCTGAAGTGATCGAGCAAAAGATCTACATTCCACCTTTTGCGGATTCAAGTCCGAATTTATATAAGGATAGCAACAAGAAATTTGTTATTATTAGCAGATCGTGAAATAGAAGTCATCTCATCGTAGATCTGCGACATTTGGATTAAGGTTCACCTAGTAGCTCTAGTCCAACTTTAATCAAACATATACACTATATCAAGAGACAAGTCAAGACCACCATGTGTCCCCTAACTTCTCGAATCTTTGGAGAAATGCATCGTTGGAATACAAATCTTGCCACGTTATTAGGGTCTAGACCACCTCTCAAAGAAAAAGAATCTCACAAAGATTGACTTCTTTCTATCTCTGCAATCTAGGATTGAAAAATTGAAACCTGTTGCGAATCGTAAAGATCTATCATCCGTCTCCTTTTGCAACTATAACAATAGATACCCGTCGAAATAAAATAGAATGGCACATTATGTTCCATGATTCATATACCGACGTTCCTGCTTGAACCCCGAAACATTCCTCAACATATTTCTAATGTCTTCACCGATCGCAGCCTTACCCGCACCGGAAGGTTATATCGTGAACTTTGACAATCCGGCACGATATGAAGATATAACTGGATATTGGGTTTTTGGCGTCGGAACCATGTTGAGTTTTTCATTCTTGTGCATGAGGATTTATACAAAAGCGGTTGTTTCGAGGAGTTTTGCTGCTGAGGATGGTATGTTATATCATACCCCGATATTGGAGCATTTGCTAACTCATCTTCGGGATATAGTTTGTTTGATATTGGCTTGGGTGAGTGATTTGATTCGAGTGGATGGGATTGGGATTGGGATTGCATTTTACTGATTGAGGAAATAGCTTGCGGGAATTAGTGTGCAGGTGCTTTTTGTTTGTACGCGAAATCCACGAGTCTAATATGGAAAACAAAGCTGATTGATATCGTGCAGTCATGTGGCTTCACAAAGTAATGGGTGTACATGCGTGGGAAATTCCCATTGAAAGATATCATTTATACGGCAAAGTGAGTTTTCAATAATCAATCACTTACGCACGGGAGTCGACGAAGTCTATCATCTAACATCTTTCTTCAATCCAGCTGATTATGAGCTCGTCAGTCATCTACGTAGCCTGTCTCGGCTTATCCAAATTCTCCCTCCTCCTCTTCTACAACCGTTTATCCCCCGTTCAATGGTTTCGCAACGCCGTTCATTTCCTCATGTTTGTAGTTGTGGGCCATAGTTTCGCACTCATTTTCGCACTGATCTTCCTGTGCAAACCACTCGCTATGAGTTGGGATTACAATATCATAGACGGAACATGTATTGATCGCACCGCGATATTTATCGCGACGGCTGCGTTGAATGTCGCGACGGATGTTGCGCTTCTAGCGTTGGTCGTGCCGATGATTGTGGATTTGCAGATGCCGAGGATTCAGAAGGTCGGCTTGATTGTGATTTTTTTGGTTGGGTCGCTGTGAGTGGATTTTTCTCTTCCTTCCTTTCTTTCTTTCTTTCTTTCTTTCTTTCTTTCTTTCTTTCTTGCTGATTTTGAGGACGCAGGACTTGTGTAACGAGTATGATTCGTTTGAAAATTATGTTGCCGCTTCTCATGGCTCCGGATCAGACGTGGGCTGTTTCGGTTCCTTGTATATGGATGTAAATATTTTCCTTTCTCCCCTCTATTCCCCATCACCCTTACCTCCCACCTCCCACGCATCAGTAAAACTTAACCCCACCCCATAAATTCCAAGCATATCAATTAATCCCTTCCCTTCCCCCACAGCATCGTAGAAGCAAACCTCGTAACCATCTGCGGCTCCTTCCCCATCATCCGGCAATTCGCCCGACACGTTGCGCCAGGCTGGATCGGCGAATCCACCATCAATTCACTAGAAAACTCCGGTTCGCGTCTCTGCGATCTCGAAACCATCGGACAGAAATCGTCGAAGAAGAAGAAGTTTAGATATGGAAGCGAGTCGTGGGATGATAATGAGGCGTTGGAGTTGAAGCTGGATGGGAGGGGTGTGGAACATAGGGTGGAGATTACGGCAATTGGGAGAGTGGTGACGAGGGAGAGGGGTAGTGGGGATGTGGAGGATTATGCGATTCTACCGCATGCGAGATGAAGATTGGGATTTTTGATGGGGCGTTTTGGGAAAGGATATGGGATATAGGATATAGGATATCCATTACTGATGAATTTCGAGATTAGATTGGGCTATGGAGGCACATGGATTTTATTTTCAAATTACTATCTATCTACCTACTGTTGTTCATGATCACGAGTCTAATTAAATCAGTCGATGATATCAGAGAGTGTAATTAATCCTCAACACAAAGGCAGTCTACTTGCAACTTAAACAGGTGACTTGGTGGTCAGATTGAATTGGAATAGTTTTCTTGTTATCTACAAAACTCCTTTCAAAGATTCGATAAACAAGGTCCCGTACAACAACTCCTCTCATCCAGTCCCATCAAATCATTCCTAACCTTTTCTTCAACCCTTCAATCATTCCTTCTTTCATAAGAAATCCTCTATACAGATCTGACGGCCTTGACAATAAATGCACTTGCGGTTGGTGCATCATTCGAGTATGTCAAATCTAAACATCCACATTATCAGTAAACGCATTTCCAAAATTCTCCATCTAGATCTCAGATCTCAAACCTCAAATCTCAAATCCTAAGCACCCCCCTTTCCCAAAATATCAAAAGAAAAAGAAAAAACTCACGTGTAGTAAATCCTCCACTGCCAGTACAGATAATATCCTGATCATGGCAAATACTCAACACCTTACTACTTGGCACTGTTCCCACAGCCTGGCCGTAGTTTGGGTCGCCAAACACGACTACTGCGGCAATCTTGGCTGTTACAGCTGCAGAAAGTGTTTTGGCTGCTTTGTGGACAAGTTGCGCGCCTTGGGAGTAACCGGAAAGGACGAGTTTGGCGGAGGGACATTTGGTGGAGGCGGAGTTGATGAGGGTGGCCATGGTGCTGGAGCCGGCTGAGTCGCCGCCGGCGAGGTAGCTAGAGGAAGGGTTAGTTTTGGGTGAGAAGAGATGGAATGGGAGTGAATGAAGTGGGATTACATACCCTAATACATTGGCGGAATAATCAACACCCTGCACTGTAACTTTGGCAGTTGTAAGTGCAGATCTCAAGTCGGTGAAGACGTAGGGACCGACGTCCTTGCCGACATTTCCCTCTGAAATATTGTTAGTGAGATGATCTTGAAGAATCGCAGAGAATTCAATGATGATACAGATAGCAGAACATAAGAGAAGGATGGGGGAGATGATAGAATCATGAAGAAGATAAAATCCCAACACAAACATACCTTCATTAGTACCCCTTGCGAAAATCACAATGACGGGTTTGCAAGCATCAGTAGTCAAACCATTCTCGGTAGTGACAACAGCAGCAGCAGATTTTTCGAAAAAATGTGCGGTCGAAGCGAGATGTTCGGTAGTTGTTACTTGGGCTTCTGCTTGTACCTCTACTGCTGTATCGACTTCCGATTCTGCAACTGGAAGAGCGAAGGCAAGAGAAGAAACGGAAAGGAGAAGGGGGATTGAGAATCTCATTTTGAGAGTGCGGAATTGGCTGACCGGGGTCTGGTTGAAGAAGTGATATAGGAATGGAGTGAGGGTGAAGTGAGAGGAGATGGAAGGACCGAAGAGAGTACAATGAAGATGGCACTCGAGCTTACGGATTATCTCGACATTGAGGGGGAGTGAGTATTTATGTTAGTACCAAGCCTCATAACTCTCCCATTTTCTTTGTAAACCTCGTGCTACTATCTCCTCTCTGAATGGACATCCCGAGGTCGTTGCAATAAACACTTGCATACATACACACATACATGCGGAACTAAGCTAATCGGAGCTATGCATCAACACAGGAAGTTCGAATACATCTTTGCACTTGCATGTAAAGCCAAATTCAAGATAGCTATCCAAACAAACCCCTCTTTAATTTCACAAATACACTCCCACTTTTCTCATACCCAGATTTTACCCACTCTCCATCTCCAGCCAAGCAGAAAATCGAAGCCAAGCCCCATACCAATTCACATTTCTCTCACTTCTTTGGTCAATTAATTCACATTTATACTCAGCCGAATCAAATCTCACACCTTATTCAAAATTTTGTGGGTCCTGGACCTGCATATAGATGCAGGTGATAAGGTATTGAAGATCGGACCTGCCTGTATTGATATATAACACCGTGCCTTTGAGCATTAGGTGTACACCAATGGTATTGGCATTAACATTATTATTGGCATATAACAACAGCCTCGGTTCTCCTGAAGACAGGCTGGGAAAAAGAGGGAGGAGAAAGTTCGATAGATGTTCCATTCTTTAAACTCTCGGGCTTAGGTCTTGGCTGCAGGCATGAAGGGATTCGGGTGGATGTAGGATCTCTGGATGAGTATATCTTCTTAGAAAGGAAAGAAGGCATGAGTTTGCGGGAATACCTTCAGGTGGATTATTGAAGTGATTGTTTTGTGATGACTTCAGTAGAGACTGCACAAGAAATACTTTCCTTGCCAATTCCAAATAGCATTCCGTATACTTCGATATTGCCGTTGTATTGGTAATTGATTCCGGTCTCGGTGTGCTTCCAGATACTATATTCACAGTCCTATGATTTGCATTCTACTCTGCACGTGTAGGAGAAGTACAATACTATATGTAATGTATATCCAATGCTTCTGCATATCTGCAGCGCCGAGGAATATCCAATCGACCTAGCCAATCCAATTCCAATCGTTTAACCATGAAGATTCATGCGAAACTCTTTTCCGTCCCATTCATCCACATGCCTTCCCAACACAGATCACTAATCCGTTTGCTGTATCATTGGCAAAGAGAATTACCAAACATACTTGCTTATTCTTGACACCAAACGAAGCGAAAGAAAGGAAGAAAGCTGAATCATCAAATCAAATACCCACTTAAGCACCTTGGCCTGTGATATCTCCAAGCTCTCAGTAGATATTCAGTGTAACACCTGCCCAAATCTCCCCGCAGCTACCATTCTATCCAACAACCAACCTCCAACCAAACGGCAGAATTGCGGGGGTGGAGTCCTCTACCTAGTAAATTCTCCCACCCGCCTCACTAATTTTCCATCTTTGGGCATATACTCCGTAAATAAGTTACCAATCTCTGCAACCTGCCTACTCCACCCCTTCACACCGTTTTCCATCAAAAGAATAAGGGATTAACTGCCGACATACATCAAAACATGATACGCACTGTATGCCAATTTCTCGGGGTGCATGTCACTTATGCATGAGAGGTATATGGAGTTGGGGAGTTTCCACAATAGGAAGGAGGGTATGGGATAGAGATCATTCGGTCTTTTCTTCACTGCACTTTCGGGGGATGAAGTGGTTGAAATGGGAATTTAGGGTTATTAATTACATCATTCTATCATGGAAGATTTATCCTTCTACCCCGTAATTACTCTTGGCATTGATCCTATTGACTGGGCATAAATTTCTACCGAGGCCTGATGTGAAAATAGAGTCAAGGTATGTAGAGTAAAGAGAAACTTTGAGACTACATTGTACTTCGTAGTAATCTCGATAATACTACAATGATTCTCAATGTGAAACCAAACTTATGTACTATCTGCAATTAACCAAATATCCAGGCACACATAACCTGGCCTATTCCAAATCTTTTTCACCATACACTATACAAAAGTACCCACCCAATTCCTCATCTCCGATATAATCAATACAGAATCCCACCTCCTTCCCTCATCTCAAGATCTTCCTCCTACCAATCGACCCAAACACCTCCCGGTAATACTCCCCTCATGACTCCCCAATGCCCTTTCGCACTTTTAACCTGCCACTCCTCCAACCTCCCAGTCTCATTCCTCCTCAATACCCCCGCAAAAGCTTCGTCTCCTTTCTCTTCTCCCAGCTTTAACTCTTCATCTTCTATCTCCCACTTTGGTAGTAAGAATGCTCTTCTCGCATTACTTCTCAAAAAGTCCTTTTCAATTGGTTTGCGGAATGTGATTGATGGTGCAGAAGTTTCAGGACCCAAAGAAGGCGTTTCGGAAAGAGGCTTTTTGCAAAAGATCACCATGTTAGTGAAATCTTGTCCTGTTTCTGCAATGTGTTGATCTGTTGGTGCTTCGGCCTCACGGTAAATACGACAGGTGGGGAAGAGTGAGCGAATTGTACGATGAATGATTAGGAAAGGGGGAAGAAGGAAGTCTCCAGCGTAATTCTATAGAGTAATTAGTACGAAATTTTAGAATGTCAAGAACAATAAAACCTACAATGGCGATAACACCACCTGGTTCCAAGATATCATGAAGATCCTTCAAAAATTCATATGTAAATAGTTCAACAGGTTCAGCTCCGCCTGTAAATACATCGTGCACGATGTAGTTGAACTTCTTTCCTTGAGCTGCAAAATCTGATGCGACAGATACGGCGTCCTCAATGATAGTTTCTTGGGGCTCAGGAAGAGAGAAGTATTTTTGAGCGAAGTCAACCACAACGGGATCAATCTCCACCAAAGTAGTATGAACTCCATGGGATATCAAAGCAGCTGGAGTAGTACCAATACCGAGACCACTATTGTATATCAGTATAATGAACAGTTCGTTATGGAGAAATCCGAGAAACTCACATGACCAATGCACTAGCATCCTCGTCTTTAATTGGCTTTTCGACTTCAATCAACCGTATTGCCTCTAGCATCACAAAAATTCCATAAATAGGCTCAGCAAGTCCTTTGGCCTTTTTCCCATTGACCAACCATTCTCCTCCTAAAAGACTATGATCACAACGCATAGCACGGAATCCATTGCCCATCGTCAAACTTTCAATAACGGATACATACCCAGTCAGCGATTCTTTTCGTTCAAGGATCGACCAACCATTGGCATTCATCGTGCTATTAAGTTGATTAATCGCATATGGCGTTGGAACATGTACATTAAACAATGCAGTATGGAAGAGTGCTGGTAGTATCCAAAGTAGACGTTTCGAAGGAGCAAAAGCTGAATATAAAGCTTGGAGTACAATTTGCATTCCAAGGCGTGTGAAAATGATGGATTGACCAATATGTTGAGAGATCTGATTTGAGGATATAT